GCATCTCTCTCTATCTCTGCCTTCCTGGCTTCCATATTCTACACTAAATCTCCGAATCCACTTCATGTCGGGCAGTTTCTCAACAGCTTGTTCTAGCCTGAAGCTGCCTCGCCGCTTCGTCAGCTCGAGCACCTCACTGCACTGGCAAGCGCCGCACTGGCTTCTGGTCACACGGCCGGTCCTCGGATCAGGGTCGCTTTCGTTGCGTTCCATTGACATCAGGTCCCGCGTCGTCTCTGGCGCTCCCGTTCCGTCTTTGCCCTTCACCATCGTCAGAGGGGGAGGGAGGGTGACAGCCACAACGACCAAAGGTGACAATGATAACGGCCACACCCTTCGTACACGCCTCCCAGGCCCGCTAGAAGCCTTCCATCGCGCGTCTACCGCCTTCTGTTTCCTGCCCCGAGCGCCCTTCTGCTCACTCGGGAGCCGGCGTTGGGCTCGATCAACTCTGAACTCTGAACTCTACCGACCTGTCGGCATGCCAGCAGATAACCTACTGTCGCTTGATGTCGGCCACGATGCCACATATCGCCGCGACTAACGGCTGAAAGGCTCGTCATAAGGTTATACCACACCTCCCCGCGCTATAGAACCCTTCACCGCGCCGAAGGGAACCCTCCCCGAGCCGAACCTCACATCGCACATCGTCGGGTGATCATCCCTCGCCGCCGTCGTGGAAGAAGGGGGAAACACTAGGAGATGATCTTCCAGAGGTTCAGCTTCATGTACGACGTTGAATCATGATCCACAGACTAAACATGGCCAAAACCGCTGGCGCCACCTCGCATGGCCTTGGGCAGCGCTTCGCCTCCCGCGACCGAGTTGCTCCGTACCCCGTACGGAGAACGACCGCGTTTCCTGACTCCAAAACGTGGACCAGCGTTTCCAGCCCCGGCGTAGATCCGATTCCCAAGGCGTTGCGGGCTCACCGTCACACAGCTCCGACTACCAAGACTCTCGCCAGGAGAAATACGGGGGCCAAGAAAAGGCTTAGCCTCTTGCGATACGGCAATCTCAGTGCTGGTGTATCCGTAGACCCTGTGGGCATCACCACGGGAATATTTGTATGGTGCACTGCGGTACTGCATAGTAGATGCCCCAGATCTGCTCACCATCCCAGTCGGATCGTCGAAACCGTAAACTTCTTGGCTGCCGTAAGAAGCCTGCATCATGTTCCCGACTGACGGTCCAATCGGATCTCGAATAGCCGCTTCTTCATCCCCAAGACGGTGGCTGACTACTCCAAACCCACGTTGCCCGTTCCTGACTACCAGTAACTCTATGCCCAGGTTCCTGACTACTGCAACTCTCTTCTGCCCACACTCACTCAAATCATCCACATACATACACACACTCACTCATAGCAACAGGCACAGGCACCAGGCACAGCACGGTCGTTGAACGCCGCCAAGACTCCACTGAAACAGATTCACGAGCAAAGATTCGCCAAGCTTCATGCAGCTGTGAACCTAACCGCACATCCCTTCGACACACGGCCACCACGTCGCTCTCGAGCTTGAACCCCGGCCGCACATCGCGACCGCTTCGCAACCGCCCACCGCCCTGTCTACCCTGTCGTGCTGCCCTGCCTGCCCTGCCCTGCCGCACATCACTCAAATCATTCCGACGTACCTCACGTACCTTGCCTTACGTACTCTTGCATAGCAGCCATGTACTATGAGGCGCAGTAGCCCGGATCTAGTGGGCGGGTGGATTCACGGGTGCTCCCTCGCCTCTCTTCTGTGGGCGCCTACTCCAGCGCCTTAGATGCGATTTGCTCAGAGCCGCATCTTGGCAGCTTCAACCTCGTTTTCCATCCCCCACGACGCATCATCGTCTGGGTATCCAGTTGACTCTTCTCCGACGTTGCCGGGGCCGCTGTCTCTGTCTCTGCCCGGTCTCGTCGTCTCAATGTGAGCCCGTCAACTTGCGCGGCAAGAGAACCCTCGACAAGCGATTTCAATTCCTCACACACAGAGGTTCAACCAAACCCATCTCAGCTCTGCTTCTACACGCCCCCGTCTTCCCTCGTTTTCTCTCGTCCACGCCCCTGTGCCCCATGCCTGTGCCACTAGATTTGACGCGATACCGAGCTTTGCTTGAGGTTGACTTTGACTGACGGCCATCTTGTTCCTCCCTCCCCATCCACCCTTCCCCAAGGTCCTAGCCACACGGGGCACACTGACCCTGACAATTGTTTGCAAGGTGCAAGGTAGCATCGGGGACGCAAGGTAGGCCGACTAGGGGGTGTGTGCGGGCGGGCTGCTGCTGCGGCGGCGGCGGCGTTAGGAGGTTGGTTTGGTTTCTCTTCTCAGTCTGTCTCTCTCTCTCTCTCTGTCTCGCACACACAGCAGAGAGTGAGTGCGTGTGTGTGAGTGGGAGAGGCGAACGCGGTTCAGCTGAGAACAGACCATGGGCATCAACGAGCTGCTACTCGCCTGCTCTGCCCTTGCTACCAAACAGCATGGAACGATCTGATTCCGAACCTCCCAAATCCATCCCATCTCATCCCACACCTAGGAATTTGTCAAATCTCGTCCCCCTGGCCATGAGGAAATATGGAATGCCAAGGGCCACCATCCAGATCTCTTCTATATAACTCTCCCGTCCACACCATCGAATCTAACCTTTCTGTCTTCTCTCATCACGCAGCATTAAGAAAGCAAGCCTTCTCTTCTCATCTTCCCTTCTCTTCACAATTTAGCCCCGGTGGCTTTTTATTAACGCATTCTCTAATTATCTAAAACTCCTCCGACTCCTAAGTTTCCTCCAGCTCGCCACTTTCACTCATCAAGATGCGCTCCCAATCGCTTGTTGTCGCCGCTCTGGCCGCCTCCGTCTCGGCCCACGGCCTTGTTGTGTCCATGGATGGCGCCAACGGTGTTACCATGCCCGGTCTGTCCGGTAAGTCTTTTCTTCGACTGGTTCGTCGGCTTTCTTTGGGATTTTCGATTCTAACAAAACCATCAAAGTCGCCGACGGCACTCCCCGTGACTGCTCTTCCAACGGCTGCGGCTCCCAGGCCGATACCGCCATCATCCGCGACCGCGAGATCTCCTCCGGCGAGGTCGGCCCTCTTGGCCGCACTCAGGGTAACGGCCCCATCTCCGCCGAGGTCATGATCAACAACTTCATGGGTGGTGCCGCCGCCCCCAAGAACAACGGTGCCGCCTCCGGAACCGGTGTCGAGGACAACATCCCCAACAACGCCGCCAAGCGTGCCGAGCTACACGTCCGCCAGGGTCTCGCAGGTCTCTTCGGTGGTGGTGGCAAGAACAAGGGCAACAAGCAGAACGGCCCCCCCGAGGCTCGCGTCGCCGCCACCGCCGGCATGGGTGCTGCCCAAGGCATGCCCACTTGCGCCGATGACGGTACCATCACTATGACCTTCCGCCAGATCAACCAGGACGGCGCCGGCCCCCTGACCGCCGATGTCGACGGTACCTCCGGAGGTACCCAGGAGTCTGCTTTCCAGAGCGCTCAGGTCACCCAGGACGTTCCGGGACTCGGCATTCAGGGTCTGTCCCTCGCCACCAACACCGACTTCCCCGTCAAGGTCCAGATGCCCGCTGGCATGACCTGCGACGGCAAGGTCGGCATGGCCTCTGGCGTCTGCGTTGCCCGTGTCCGCAACGGCGCTGCCGCCGGCCCCTTCGGTGGCTCTGTTGCCTTCACCCAGACCGCCGCCGGCCGCAAGCGCGCCATCGCCTACCGCATCAAGAAGCGCATGGAGCTCAACAACCGCGCATAAGCGAGAAATCTTCACTTCTTTATTTTGTGTGGGTTTTTGAGAGATCCTCGCGTTTTGGTGTCAAGCCTGGGAGTTTGGGGGATTTTAATCCAGCACGCAGGGAGTCAGGGACTCCCACGGAGCTGCGATGGAATTCCAGACTTGGGTATAGAGCTTTGGAAACGGCCATTCTTTATTTTGTATCCTACATACTTTTCTTATTAGGTCGTCACTTTTCCATAAGCAATTGACGCCAGTCGGAGTTTGAAACTACATTCTGTGCCTGACATCGTGTGACTTGACTGAAGCAGCATATTTCTTGATGTTGATTCTAATGAACAGACTTTGTACGTATTTACTCAAGTACATGACAATCCTACCCATCATGAACACGAAAACGTGAGAACGAGAGAGTTAGGGGCGTACTCGAGCAATTACAGTATTCCCACAACTTACCAATCGAAAACAGGAACTGACCACTGTCAGTCTGGGTGTTTGTACCAGCAACAACGACTGGCGAACCGACGGCTACCAACCGCCGTCAACTTCCCCGCGCCCCTATCGGACGGAAACGGATCCATCGCTTAAGCTTGTTTTTGATGGCAAAGACGTGGCCCAGGCTACCATCCAGCCTCGGCCACGCTGATAGAAATCCGCGCGTGGTTGAAGTGTGGCCACTTATCCGAGGTTCGCCTGCTCTGCCTCGTCCGAAGTGAAGGGAGCGAGCCATTGCTCAGGCCTTATCCCTTCTTCTCGGCCACACCAGCAACTTGACACCGGACTTGTGTCAGGCGAGGCGAAACTAAACACGCCTAGCGAATCACAGAGGAGGAAACATTTCAAATCATGAATCGCAAATTTGATTTTGAACTGGCCATTCGCATGCCATCTTCGGACAATGCGAAGAGGTCTAATGCGAGGCGTCGTCGTCGTCAACTTCATCCAACGAAGTCTCTATACACTCACGACGACGACGACACACTGTTCCTGATCCGAGGTGCTTTTCCTTCGGCCGCCGAGAGGAGGCCATCCCAACGCCGGGCTTGATGATACGCCGTTGTATTAACAAATATTAAGGCAGAATCCCCGCGTTCAATGTAGCTTGTGAATAGTTGTAAGAAATTGGTGCAGGTACTGCCACCCTGACACCGCCCACGGTACTGTTACTTTGGCATGATTTGCAACCCATGCCCATGACTATGATGATGAATAAAAGGGGGTTATAGTGAATATCACCATCGCCGGCTATGTACCTGGTCAGCTGATGTTACGTAAAGTAGATTTTGAACTTGACGTACCTGTATGCAGAGTCGACTTTGGGGACTTTCTTGCGAATCTTGAACGCACCACCATCACCTTGTTTGCCTTCCTTTCCGCCCTTCGTCTTCGTCGAGATTCCCAAGAGTTCGGCCTCAAGGTCATCCAAGTCTGAATCTTCGCCGCCAGGAGAGGCGCCCGAAGCCATGGATTGTCTGGATGCCGGGCGCGAGTCGGCGTGACTGCTATGAGATCCCCGGCGCCACGAATGGTGAGATCCTTGCCTGCTGGGTGGACGGCTGTCGGGTGTCCCAGGAAATGTTGGAGTTGTCGGCCTCCGGTCATGGAAGCCGTTGGAGGACTCTTGTCGCCCACGCACTTGGCGAGAGCTGTAGTAGCCCGAATCCTGGCGGGCAACGTACCCTTCTCTTTCGCGCACGGCAGACCCAGCCTCTCTGCTGTCCACAGAATTGAGATGGGTATCGCTGGATTCATGCTCCGTACGCTCTGATCTTTGGCTTCGGTACCGGTCGATTGTTCTGCTGTCTTCCCGTCCTCGTCGGTTGTGAGGCGACGCATTCTCGTATGCTCCCTGTCCCTCGCCCTTCTGCCTCTTGTAGCGGCTCTGCTGAGAGTCACTGTCATGCGTACCTCCTCCACGGGACTGTTTATACGGGGAGTCATCCCAGGCGCGCTTGCGGTCGTTCAGATGTCGATGGTCTCGATTCTCCGGGGTCGGCGGCTTTGGCGGCAGGGACGGAAATCCTGGAAGGCGTGACGATTTGAACGTGCTGATACGTTCTCTGACTTCGGGTTTCTTGAGCTTTCCGGCGTCAGGCGCTGGCTTCCAAAACACCGGGTCGTGCCTGAGGGCGGCGAAGTACTCGGTCTCTCGAATCGGCCGCGAAAACTCTTCCAGATTGTTCTCTTTCACAAATTCGGAAAGGACACACGTCGCATTCCAAGTCGGAGGGAGCATGATGTTATCATGATACTCATACGGCCCGGGGAGAGGTTTGGCGATGGGGTCTGGCTGGTGTGTTTTGTTTGGTTCTTTGAATATCATTTCTTCTTCCCACTTCCAGTCGTCTTCCTCGTCGACGCCATGCTCTGACACCGTGGGTGCATGCCGGCTTTCTGGCGTATCGCTGGCAGTGATTGCGGGTTTCGCATGGTCAGCCTTTGGTGTTGGGGTTGGCTCGGCCACTTCAGAGTTGTTATTGTTGTTGCCTTCCCTGGTGGCGTCTTTGGCGCCATGCTTTGGCTGAGACTGCGATGGGTCCCTTTTGGATTGGTTGTTATGCTTATTGCGACGACCACGATCTTGTCGGCGGTCCTGGCGGTTGATTTTTCCATGGCGATTCTGGTTGTTTCGATCCCGTGGCGGGTGGTTTCTTTGAGGCGTGGGGGGAATGGGTGGCAGCCCGTGTGGTAATGGAGGACCCCTAGGAGGGACGGGCAGAGGCGGCGATGGTCCGTATCCACGATCAGGAGGCGCGTAGGGCTGGGCGTATGGCGGAGGAGGGGGAGGTGGCTGAGATCTGTAGGGCGGTTGAGGAGGAGGAGGCCCATAGTTGGAGGAGGAGTAGCTTCCACCCGGCGGAGGGTACTGGCCGCCCGGAGGTGGCGGAGGACTGCTCTGATATCCAGGGGGTGCGTAAGGGGGGTACGCCGAGCCAGGAGGATAACTAGGCGGCTGATAAGACGGAGGAGGAGGCCGAGGCGGCCCTGGAGGTCCCGGGAGAGGAGGAGCCCCATACTGCCCAGAAGCTCCATACTGGAACGGCGCAGGAGGTCCTGGAGGGCCGGGAGGGCCAGGCGGTGGTGGATAGGAAGCAGATGGCGGTGGAGGTGGAGGGGGCGGCGATGCATACTGAGAGTAGCTGGGATAGCTGCTCGGGGGTGGGGGAGGTGCATAGCCACCCGGGGGAGGTGGATAAGACGGGTATGGCTGCGGGGGACCGGGATACGGAGGAGCCGTAGCATGGGGTTGGCTGGGCGGGGGTGCGTAGCGAGTGACGATCGGATTGCCGCCGGGTGGAGCATACTTTGTGACCACCGGACCCGATCTTCGGCCGCCGTGCTGGGCATCGCTGCCTCGGCCGTGGTCATGGCCGGTCGAGGGCTTGCGGGTCAATCCCCTGTCTTTGAGTCAGTCTTTGCCCGAGCAGTTACGGCGCAGTATGGACCGATTGATGAACGTACGCTGGCTTGGCTCTGACGGGTTCGGGACACGCGACGGCCCAATGTCCAACGCCGCCACAGTTAATGCAGCTGGGCTCTTTCGTAGCTGGTCCCATACCTGGCGCGAAGTCTGCCATTGCTGATGAAGCCTCGTCGGATGGGTGTCGAGTGGCGTGCCGGCGAGGGCCACTGAGGCCTTAGTTGATGATGAAGGATGATTTATGTTCAAAACTCTCTGTAGAACACAACGCAGAATTCGACTCCAGAGACAGAAACTGAGTCACGACTCTGCTATGCCTCCAAAAACAAAGACAGTCGCACCCAAGACACAACAATGCGCCCAACTGAGGTGCCGACTGAGAACGCGTGAGCAGGTGCTTCAGCACGATTGGCGTATGTTCCAGAAATCGAGTGAGTCTAGCGCTTGGAACGGTGAGGATGAAGTCAGCAACAACTTTTTGGAGGGGGGAAGCCAACCTCGATCGGTGCCGCGATAGGTAACGTAGACCAGTTATGATCAGAGGGCCGAGAACTTATGGTTGAAGTCTGTAAGGTTGTGCGTATGAGAGGCTATTTCCAAAAAGGGATGTCTCGTAGAGCTCAGCACCAAGTTAATATACGTCGAGAGGGTGGGATGAGGCCATTCAGAGGTGTAGTCGAGGGAATGCGCTGGTGCTGACTGCGACGGCGCATCACCTCATGGCAGACGGTCCCTCCTCAATGGTCTATGGTGACGAGCAGGCGCGGCAGACTCAGTCCAGCGATGACCTCACTCATGCAGTCGCGAGAGCCAGACGAGTGGTAGAGAGCCGCGATATCACACACGCGATGGCATGGCGATGCGATACAAGGATGAGGGCACAGGAGAAGCGCGACGAAGTTGACCAAAGTTCAAGGTTGCGCGCCCAGGCTCAGGCGCAAAGTGGGGCTGGGTACCTATCCGGTGAGGCACAGCGCCGCACCACCCACCACCGCCCAGCGGCAACAGCTTCCGAGGCAACCTGAGGGAAAGGCTGGGCTGAGCGGGCTGAAAGGAGCGAACCGGAAATACATCGGCCCGGTCATGCTTCCTTTTTCCATCGCTCAAGGCAGCCAGTCCAGTCAGATAGGTGCCTTTGTCGCACGCAGCGCTCAATCTGACACAGCAAGATGGGCGGGCGGCGGGAAGATACAGTAGTGACACGGCCAGGGAGGAAGTATATGGCCTTGTCTTCCCACGGTTGCCGTCAGCCCCATCCCCGGGTGGTATGACAGGCACCCGGACAGAACCATTCAGGTGACAGGCTGCTGGCGAAGGTATGTCTCTATCATGCATATGTAGCCAGCCATCAGCGCGACAGGGCTTGTCTTGCTAGTAGCAGTAGCAGACTCCGTGAGAGAGATCTCGGGTAATGGCCAAGCACAGAGTAAGGCATAACATCTGTCGCATTGGATGAAAGGGCAGAACACGGTGCCTGGAGAGCAATTTGGGAGCAGGACGGCACTATGAAAACTAGAAAGATGGAAAGCGAGACTATTTGGATGCCGCGTCGCGTTCGAGCGCAGGCATGTCAGGCTAGCCCGCGGCTGCGATGACAGCTTCCTCGATCTCATGAGCAGGATGATGAAACAGATGTAGATATTTCTAGACCAGTCTGGACCCTGAAAAGGAAACGCGTGCTCAGCGTCGCGCGACAGTTCGCAGCTGTAGCAGGGGCAGAGGACATGAAGACGATCCGGGAGGTTGAAGCTGGGAGCAAAGACAAAGGAAACGTAATAGTGAGCAATGTTTTCCAATCCACGGCAGATATGAGATTCTGCCGATGCCAGGTGCTGTGATTTCCCTGGGAGCCAAGATCGTTGGCAGCCGTACGCAACGCGATGCTTTGCGGCAGATATGGATAGTGTGGTGCTCGGGACGAGGGGAAAAGCAAGGAAAGGTGACCGCAAATCCGCCCTCAGCAGACACAGATGCAGACGTAGCAGACGCGGGCGAAAACGCTTGTCGGGACCAGCTGATCAAACCGGGGCAGTTTTCGCTCTGCTGTTGGCGACGACAATGGCAACAATAACACGGGCGCGAATCCAGGCGACAGAGGTTGACAAGGGTAGAGAGTGTGCGAGAGAGAAGGAGAACGAGGGCAGGCGGCTGCGTTGAGGGAGAGGGAAGTGGAGGGGGGATGGACGCTTCTTTATAATTATGCCCCGGGCCAATCCTGCGTTCCAGCATCTGATTGCACCAAATGGATGGAAGGACTGGCAGGTGACTGAGGTGACGTTTGAAGCCAGGCTTCCCTGGCCAAGAAATTCCTCAGCGTCTTCTGCCAGGGGCTTGCAGCGGACATGGCCCCTAATAATGCCGGGTGTACGTAAGCGATACTCAGGTCAACTCAGGTACGGGCTGTTCCCCTTCGTCTGGATTCGCATTTCTCAGCCAGGTCCGAGCTCCCAAGCTGCCTGCCCTCTGCTGCCAATTTGAGATGGTGGATTGAATTGCATGGTTGCCCGTCTTTCACAGCATGACGTCCTTGCTTCTGCAGCCGCTGCTGTCGCCCGTCTAAAGACCAACGGGGGAAAAAAAAAAGTCAGGGACACCGACCAGTCACGACAACCTCGTTTTCTCCCGCGGCCATCCTCCTCCTCGTAAACGCGCCCTCCTTTTCGTCGCTCCCTTCTCCTCGCGTGGACCACTGACGAGACCACCGTCCAAGGTTTGACGAGACGGACGACAGGCATCGTGGGCAACCCATCCCCCGCGTCTACGTATATACCCCCCGCCGCCGTCCACCTCGAACCGCCCACAACGCAACCGCCCCTCGTCGACGCCGCCGCCGCCGCGCACCTCTGTCCATGTAAAGACTCGTCCTTCTCGATCATGTTCACACAACCACGAAGCCTCTCACCACACATTGCCCGCGCCTGGAGTAGAAGTGGTCACCGCCGACCCGCTTCGTGAGCGGCCTTCGCTGCTGCACCCGTACCGCACCCGCACCCAACACTTGCTCGCTTGGTAGCGACAACTTTTCAACATCCTTTCCTCCCCTAGCGACGTTGACGCCCTTGCAATACCTATCGCATAACATACCATCGCGATGCCCGGTCTTCCAGGTAAGCCTCCGACCACCTGGCTGCGTCATGCATGCCCGGTCACGAGGAACCACCCGCGGCTGACTATCGTCGCGTCACAATAGCTTCCGTCGACCTCGACGAGTGTATCTCGCGCTTATACAAGAGGGAGCTCCTCGCCGAGTCCGTCATCGAGGCCATATGCGCCAAGACCAAGGAGCTGCTCATGCGCGAGAGCAACGTCGTTCACGTCCGCGCCCCCGTTACCGTCGTCGGCGATATCCACGGCCAGTTCTACGACCTGATTGAAATATTCAAGATTGGCGGATGGTGCCCAGACACCAACTATCTGTTCCTAGGTGAGTCTTGTGTTACGACTTGGAAGAAAATCGGCAAAAGTATTGGTCAAGAGTACGACTGACAGTCCCTGCCCCCCTTCAGGAGACTACGTCGACCGTGGCATGTTCAGCGTCGAGACCATTTCTTTGCTTGTGTGCTTGAAACTTCGATACCCCAATCGCGTTCATTTGATCCGAGGCAACCATGAATCTCGCGGCGTCACCCAATCATACGGCTTCTACACCGAGTGCTCCAGGAAATACGGCAATGCCAATGTATGGCACTATTTTACCGACATGTTTGACTTCCTGACCCTGAGTGTCGTCATCAACGACAAGATCTTTTGTGTCCATGGCGGTATGTGTCCCCATAACTCGACCGCCTACTCCATGGCTTCAGCATGCTGACTTATTGTTGCGTACAGGCCTATCCCCGTCCATCCACTCGATCGACCAAATCGTCATCATCGACCGCTTCCGCGAGATTCCACACGAAGGCCCCATGGCTGACCTTGTATGGTCCGATCCAGACCCCGAGCGAGACGAGTTTTCCCTCAGCCCCCGCGGGGCAGGCTACACCTTTGGCGCGCAAGTAGTCAAGAAGTTCCTGGCGGTAAACAACATGGATCACATCCTCAGGGCCCACCAGCTGTGTCAGGAGGGCTTCCAGGTCCTGTACGATGACCGGCTGAGCACGGTCTGGAGCGCGCCCAACTACTGCTACAGGTGTGGCAATATGGCTAGTGTACTGGAGGTTAGCGACACGGGCGAGAGGTTCTTCAACGTCTTTGCGGCGGCTCCAGAGAACGACCAGCACAAGGACATGCAGCCTGGCGGAGAGAAGCAGGCAGATGGAAACTCGCTGCCTGACTACTTCCTGTAGTAGTACCACAAGCCTCCAAGGTGGAAGACGGCAACAACACGATTGGATTGTCGCACAGGACCACCACCATCACCACCACCAACCAACGGTGGTAGCTGCCTTGGGAAGCACACGTAAACTTCCAATGAACCATGACGATATAGCACAACGGCCTTGTGACAAAGACTCACTCGACCCCACGTCAGAAAGACATACACATACAGCTGGTTAGTTGCTAGACCTGTCTTTTTGACAAGCCAAAAGGGGCTAGACACATAGAAGAAGAGGGACACAATGATATGATGACGATCCAATGGATTTGTATTCCGCTCGGAAACAAGTTAGGATCCCAAGCTGATGAGACTGGAACTATCTGCCATCTACCGACCAATCTTTTGTGTGATTCGTGACTTCATGTGTGCCAGACCTGTATAAGGTGGAAGCAAAAATTTAGCAACTTTCCCATCCGTCCATCCCCCCTGGAAGGTTGCATGTGTGTTGTTTTTCTCTCCTAGTGAAAGGACATTGGCGCGTTGTGTGTATGTCTTTGTTTTTTTCTTTTGCATTTGTAACTTGAGTGAGTGATGGGGAGGGAGGGCCTCCGTCCTCCCAGGTACCCCAGGTTGGAACAGATGGCAGGTCCTGGGGAGTAGTCGCCTGCGCAGACGGATGGATCATCCAGCTCGCTGAACACGGTCTCTAAAATCATCGTCGCTTCTTCGAACTCGACACGGCATTCTCAAGACCGTCGCGGGGCCGTGGCCATGGCTGGGCGAGACAAGACTTGCTGCCCCTTTCATCAACGTTCGAGTAGGAGAGTGAAAATGAGCGAATCAGGATGCCTCATCCCGTCTACCAGTCCTTGGCGATGTCGAAAGACCACTCGAAAGTCAAATGGGTCTTCTTGTCGTCGTCGACGAAGCTGGAGATGGCGTTGTAGTGGCCACGGGCGAGCATGCCGGAGGGGGCGTCCTCCTCTTGGACTATGGATTGTCAGCCAACTGGGTTCAAAAACAAAAGTGAGCCGTTAAGGAGGGGGAAGCCTACAGCGCTTGGTGTAGGTGGTCTGCTTGTCGGTGTTGGGAGCATAGCTACCCTGCGAGGGGGGTCAGTCATCATCAATCAGAGCCGCTCGTGAACGGGGAGGGAAAACTTACCAGCATCTCAGAGTCCTTGCTGACCTTGATTCCCTTACGCTTGACGACCTGGACGTACTGGAGACCGCTGAGAATCTCGTGCTGGACTTTGAAGGTGGCAACCATGGTGAACTTGGCACCCTCCTTGATCTTGAAGGGTTTGTCCTTCAGGCTGGCTTCGGAGCCGGGGGCGGACAGGTCGATGGTGACGGGTTCGCGGCCGGGGGACTCCATGGTCAGGGAGAGGATGATGCAGACACGGGGATCGCTGGGGTCAGAGAGGTCCTTGCCGCCGCCGAGGCCGAGGGACTCCTTGTAGCGCTGGAGAGACTCATCGTTCTGGTCTGTTGCCGCGTTAGTCGGGGTGATTTCTCCATCTTCTTGGTCAAAGTCTCCAAGCTCGTATGTATCAACATTGACTCCATGAGCTGCTAGCACTGCGTTGGGTGAGGTGTAGAAGTCCCGGATGAGGGCTGGGTCTTGCCGTTGCTGCTGCGGCTGGGATTTGGGGGAGTTGGGAGGATTGGGGGGCACAGGTCGTGAGAGGGCTCTGGCTCGGTGAAGTTGGCTTTCCAAGGAGGCAAGCTCTGATATACCACCACCAGCTGCAGCAAGGGCTGGAGACTGGGCGCGAGACTCAGATGGGGTGTTGAGGGGCGCCGGAGGCACTTCAATGGAGTTGCGATGCTGCAAGGCGTTATGGCGGTTTTGGCGCCGCATAACCTGGCGCATACCCTCGTACAGTCTCTCCATATCGCGTTGATATTGCTTGTGTTTTTGTGTTTTGTTTTTTGTGCAGTACAGCAACTACCCAAACACAAAGGTGAAGGAGGCCACTGGTGATGAGAAGCAGGTTTGATGGGAGTGATGTGATGGTGAAGGATGTGTGGTGAGGTGCTGGCAGTAGCTGGACAGGCAGGAGGAGCTCCTGTCCTGGGTGGTCTTGCCCAACTTGGAGCTCATGATGGTGTTTTGCACGTATTCAGTGCCTGAATAGCATGAGCACTTGCTGTCACCGAGGTGAGTGAGGAGCTCTGGGAGCTCTCTTCTGGCACACACCGATCTCTAACAAAGGTGCAGAGGTGAGGTGAGGGGCACACACAAAGGACCCATCCCCAGCTGTGTCGTCCACTCAGAGCATGATGTGGCAAAGGTAAAGGCAGACAATGGAGATAAAGACACGACACAAATCATACTGAAAGGGAATCAGGACTCACCCATCTTCTGGTATTCAGCGAGACTCTGCTTGGGCTGGGAGAGCTTGTAGCCCTGAGTCTCCTCAGGCATGGTGTCCTCTTGCTCGTGGGAAGCCATCTTAATGGTGGGGTATCGGTGAGAGCTTTGGATGAGAGAGTTGAATGTGTTGGGTATTGGCGGTGCTGGAAGAGGCTCTGGATATCGAACAACGGCAGCAGCAGCAGAGAGAAAGGCGGTGCGTAAGCTGAGATGAGAGATCTGTGACGATGTTCACTCTGGAGGAGAAGTTTAGGTTCAGGGTCGGTTGATGAGTTAAGGTAAGGCAGGCAAGGCACGGCAAGGCAAGGCAAGGCAAGGTAGTAGCTTTGCTGGAGGTTGGAGGCTGGAACCCGGAGGCAGGTACTCGGGGGTCAGGCGTGGCACGCTACGGCAAGCAGGTCACCGCTTCCTTCCATTCGATGCGTCCAGTCGACCAGACCACCTCAGCGACCAGCTAGACCTGGACGCTTCCTCATCCTCCTCCAATGCTTTTGCTGAGGTTGCCCCTCACGGCTCCCGGCCCAGGCCCAGCAGTGACCTGAAGGACTGGCCGCGGACAGGCCAACCGGCGGGCTGTGGGCGCTGGATGTGGGGCTCTGTGCTGTGGATTGTGGAGCCAGGACCGCCTACACTAGACGAAACGAGCTCTGCCATTGGCCGAAAGCGATGGTGGGGTTCGGCCTGCATTGATTGGCCGACATCTGGAACAGCATGGAACTTCACACACGAAACCAGGCACTTTTCCCACCTACCTACGGATACCGTCCACAGAATAGGTCCTCGTTTGCATCTGCCAGCAGGTGTTGAGGCGTGGTAGTGTGCTGCGTAAACAGGAGAAGAAGAGGATCACGATTGCCTTCGTGCTTGCCGCATCTTGCTTCTGGTATCATCGGCATCCATGGCCTAGGTGTAGGTGGTGTCTGGATGGAGGTTTTGTTAAGAGGCAATACCCAACACAGGCACATCTGGCCACTGCCCCTCCATGATGGCCGTTGAGACTGCAGGACGGTACAGAGTACCTTTCTGCGTAGCAATCTGCCCCTCATGGGTGTCATTGACGGCCAATCTCGATGCGGCGTGGAGGGGCAGAGGGGGCCATTCGTCGATATTGGCCAAGGTCTTTGGAGGAGCGGTCTGGACGACTGCAGCTCATGAGGGGCAGGGTCCTCAGGTAATTCGCTCGCTCCCGTGCCGTCTGCGACCGAGTCCGGTGCCTGGCCAGCCGCAATCAGGAGGCCGGTGCCGACATTGACATTCTGCCGACCTGCCGCCGTTCCTGGGGTTCCTGAGTATGAGCATGAGCATGAGCTTGACAATTCCTAGACATGAACAACGCATGGCGGAGGAGGAGAACCATGTGGCTTGCGGAAGTCCATCCATCAGCCACCAGGATGCGGGGGTGTTCTGGTGGTTGACATGAACCTGCAGCTTGTGAATGCAGACCGAGAGGCTCTTCGTATCTTATCTCTCCACGCATCACGAATGCATGCCTATTTTATGCACATTGCATAACTGCTACGTATCCCCTCTGCCTCTGAGATGTAAATCATTCTCGCCTGCATCATCATCCGTGTCATCGCCATCTGACCGCAATTGCCAGATAGACACCCAAGAAGGAGTATTTCTGTAGTCTGGAGCTATTGGTAGCAACACAGAGATGACGGCTTGGCTTCTCATGTTCGTTGCCCAGCCAGCGCCGCCGCCTCCATTTGGGCCCTGTGTCCGGCCCCTTGAAGCTCCGATCTGGGTATGGTGAGAGCTTCAGGCATTTACCCGCATCGCTAGATCGTCCTTTGTTTCCGAGAGGGTGCCTTCGCCTTGTCATTCACTGATCGGTTGGTCGCACATCAACGGTGACAGACAGCAACGTGGTAGTTGGATGACTTGGAGTGACGTGGTTGGCCCGTTGCAGCAGCCTACCTCATGAGCTCGATTTAGTAGCTATGGGTGCTAAGGTAACCCCCGCGCCTGTGGTCTGAGAGGCTCTCCTCACTGCTCGAAGCTTAGTCCTGGAGATGGCCGCTGCTCGTCTGGTTGCGACGAAGAGTGTGCGGCAAGGAGAGGGACAATCCATGTTGGGCGTGTGACCCTCATATCCGCGATGAAGCCACCGACAGCCCCTTGCACTGTGGCTCTTCCCCCCGCTTCTTGCTGCGAACGGTTCCCGGGATGCTCTGAGCTTTGCGCGTACGCGACGAGAATGTTGGGAATTTCGCGAGAGCGCTGAGCAAGAAGCAGGGACCAGCAGAGGTCTGCGACTGGAGCCTCAGAGAATGAGAGAGGAAAAGGTTCGGCTCTGCGACTTTGCGACGACTCTAGCCTAAAACTGAGGCAACGTGTGCTCAACCAGAGAAACCTTCGAGACGATCACAGCGGCCTGCCAATGGAAGAAAAGACCAGTCTTGCCAGGGGTCACGCAACGGGAAAGGAGAGAAGGGGACCGTCGCATCTGGTGATTTCACTCCTGGTTTGCTCAGGGGACGACTTTTTTCTCTTCTTTTTTTCTCGAAGCGCGCCTTACCGTTTTGCATGCACCCTCTCTGGGGAAAGCACAAGGGGGGGGAGGGAGGAGGTGGTCTCCCAAGGTGGTAGGCAGGTGCAGTAGGCTAGTACATAGTTTTCGCATGCAAAATACATCAAGAAAGGAAGTATCTTCCTATGTCGCGTTTGCTCGTGTCTTCTTCATCGGGACGCTTCAGCCCATTCACCTTGCGAGCCCCCTATGCCCCCCAACTGCTGCTAGGACCCTTTTCACCCAAATTAACCCAATGAACAGAGGACTGCTGGACCCTCCCACTGCCCCCCGAATCATTGTCGGAGCTATCGATCGCAGCAGCTGGCGCAAGTGCTTGCTGCAAGTGCTACCCACTGTCGCTGGTGCTGCCGCTGCCGCTGCCATCGCTCCTCCTTCCCGTCGGTCGTTGCTGCTCCAGCAGGTCCAATTTGCGCGCGCGCGCCTGCCCATCCACACTTCTTCTCTTCTCGTCTCGCGCCCATCTCCTCATTCTCCTCCGTCTACCCTTTTTTTTCTCCCTCCATCACCCATCCTTTTGAGACACATCCGTCGCCCTTTGAGTTTTCTCACCCTTCGCCGGGACTCTGCTCCCGTTTGCTTGCTATACAAACCAATTCTAATCCTTTTCATTGACATCATCTCCACCCCTGCAACTATTTTACGCGACAGGTCTACCCGTCACGTCTCGCCAGCTCCCAACGAGTCCCGTAAGCGACACCATCGCCGCTTTTTTCGCGCGCCCAACGTACCATACAAGGTGCTCAGACTGACGCGCCGATTCACCTTTAGTCCTTTCCCGTCTCCTCCGATCAACCCTGACCGATTCCCGACATACGCCATCCGAGCAATCACCCCTCGGTTGCCCTGACGCGCACATCGCAACTACCCCAACTACTCGCCTTTAATCACCAATTCCGTCGACGCGCGCGCATCCCATTCTCACCTCAAAATGCCTTCGGCCACAGCTCCTGCCGTTGAGAGGCATCTGCCAACCAAGCACAATCCTCTATTGCTCGACGATGTGCCCCCTTGTAGGATGCCCTGTCGATCGCGCCCCCCGTGGACTTTTGCTCACACCCTCGCAGACAAGGACCTCGTTTCGCGTCGCCGACTCGGCCAGACCCAGCTGACAGCCAAGATGGTTAACGTTCCGGATGGCGACAGTGGTGCCCTCGGCGTCTTCGATTACGCTCACCTGCGCGCCCCCCTTCCCAAGGGTATCGTCTCTGGTATCTTCAAGTCGAGCCCTAACAGCTACTTCCTTATGCGGAGAAGTCATGACGGCTTCGTATCTGCTACCGGCATGTTCAAGGCCACCTTCCCTTACGCCGAGGCTTCCGAGGAGGAGGCTGAACGAAAGTACATCAAGTCCCTCGCGACTACGAGCCCCGAGGAGACTGCTGGCAACGTTTGGATTCCTCCTGAGCACGCCCTTACCCTGGCTGAGGAGTATCGCATCCTGCCCTGGATTCGCGCTCTACTCGACCCCGTCAACATCTCTGTCTCCAATACTCCTGATAGCCCGCCCAAGAAGATCACCGCACCCCCCAAGTTCGAGTTCGTGAAGCCGACTCCCAGCCTGGCTCCTCCTGCCACTCCCACAACCCTCCGCAGATCCCGCCGCTCGGCCAGCCCAACCAAGACGGTTATCCCTAGACCTACCAGATCGCCTCGGAAGCGCAGGGCGAAGGCCGACTCGGTCGAGCCCCGCGAGACAACGCCCGCCCTCTCTACCACTAAGCTCGAAATCAACGGTGTCATCAGCGAGGACAAGAACGCAGAGGCCGAGGTTGAAACTATTATCAAGACTGTTGAGGCAGAGCCTGCAGTTGTACTCGACCCGAGAGAGGAGGAGCCCAAGGCTAAGGTCTTCGTTGACCAGGACGTCAAGACAGATGAGGATGGGAACGAGAAGAAGACCACCTCCGTCTCACTCGAGCTTCCTCTGATGAGCTCTCAGCCCCCTAGCGCTGAGGAGACGGCTCGTATGATTGCCGAGGCTAGACAGATGGTCGAGGCCGCGAAACAAGAAGGCGGCAACAAGAAGGGCAAGCGTGGAGCCGAGCAAATTTCAACAGGGGACGACGAGGATGAGAAGAAGGATGGTGTGGCTGCCGCTGCGGAAGAGCCTCGCTCAAAGAAGGCCAAAACACAAGAGGCCGCCCAGGTCCAAATCAAGAAGCAGGGCATGCGCAAGCGCGCTCTGTTTGGCATGACCGCGCTATCAGTGGCCGTTGGGTACGTTCTTATGGTGCTTCACTAGCGATACGATCGATGCTAACAGTATCCATAGTGCATTTTCTTACTTTACCGGTTCGTTCTAAGGTATCCTCGTAAATATTGAGGACACATTCTGGGGCGGCTTTCAAAATTGAGTAGCATTTGGATGAGTCGGGTGGTCTGGCCAACGGAGCAACGGAGTTTCCGGTTGCTCTTGGGATGTTGCTGGGATGGCAGACCTGGTGGCACAATTTTTAACATCGCTTATTGCCTTTCTTTCACTCATACCCAAATAGAGCCTCGGGGACAGACCCAGGCCGGCTTTCTTTTACTCGGGAATTGTTGATGTGGGGACAAACTATGTGTATATTGGAAGCGCCTTCTGGGCGAAAAGGCGACACGGAGGGCGAGTCACGGTTCAGGATTGACGGGTATTGTAATCGATGTATCGTTCTGGTGCTTGCTTTGTTTGCGCACGAGCATGGAGGGATGTACAGATGTCGAGTTGTCTTAGGTATCGTGATGTTTCGGCGTTGTCCAGTTGGATGTACTCGCTCATTCGCAGTAAGCACCGGTTTACAGATGAATCGAATCCATTGTTCTCGAATTGATCAGTTCTCACTGAGCTCATCCGCGTATCCCTGGCCGAGCGCCAAAAAAAAAAAAAAGATGCCAGGCAGGCCAACTACACCGTCGTCGGTGTCTCGAAGCTTTCTCGGTCGGGTCCCTCTTTTTCTCCAATCCGGGGCCGCTGACGCCACCTCATGCATGGGGGAGGAGGGGCAGGGGCCGTTTGGGTGTACAACATCATGGTCTCGGGTCGGGCCAAGGTCATCCGCGCGCACCTCTCGTCTCGTCACACTGGTGGCTAACACCGGCAATGGCCGGCTCCCCGGATAAGCGTAACCCTCCCCGCAGTATGAGGAGCTTGGGGTAGCTCGGTTGGAATGCGCCTCGTCTAGCCGCGCGAGCTCGATCGTGGAGGGGGGATTGGACTTTTTGTTTCTATGCACTGCCGTTTTCAAGTCTCTCGGAATTACCACTCGACTCTATTCACTTTACTTGACGTGTTTGCTATTTGAAAGATGCGTTCGAGCTCGCTACGGACCCTCCGAGTTGCCCAACGGCGTGGGTTTGCGACCACGCCGCGTCGCTTGGATAGTTATGGCTTCATCGGCTTGGGGCAGATGGTGAGATTCCCGACGGCTTCCACGTTATGGCATCTTGACCGAACCCAGCAATTGACTGAACTACTTAGGGTTATCAAATGGCCAAGAACCTCCAGTCAAAGTTGAGCACCAAAGATGAGATCCGCATCTTCGATATCAACAAGGACGCTGTCTCGAACCTGGCTAAGGAGATGGGACAGTCGCAGACTGGCGGCGCCAAGGTTGCCATTGTGGACAGCGCGAGGGATGCCTCGACAGAAGCAGTACGTTGGCTCTTCCACATGAATCTCGTTTTTTGGCGTTTCAAATATGTCACTGGCAATGCTTATTCTCCCGTCTTGGCCGGATGGTGTGTTTTTCTTTGGTCTTCTTGTCAAACGTCTTGCAGCGAGGCAAAACTAACAAACCCAGGACACCGTTATAACAGTTCTACCAGAACCATCCCACGTAAAATCAGTTTACAAGTCTATCCTCACAGACCTCCCCTCTCGTCCACGCATCTTCATAGACTGCTCCACAATCGACCCCTCGTCCTCCCGCGAAGTCGCCGCCTCCGTCGCAGCAGCACAGCCGTCGGGCATCTTCGTCGACGCCCCCATGTCGGGCGGCGTCGTTGGCGCCACGGCCGGCACTCTGACGTTCATGCTCGGCTGCGAAGAATCCCATCTCGCGCGCATCGAGCCCGTCCTTCTCCGCATGGGCCGGCGCGTGCTGCACTGCGGACCGCAGGCAACCGGTCTCTCCGCGAAGCTGGCGAACAATTATCTGCTGGCGATCAACAACATCGCCACTGCCGAAGCGATGAATCTCGGTATCAAGTGGGGACTCGATCCGAAAGTGCTTGCGGGCGTGATCAACGTCAGCACGGGCAAGTGCTGGCCCAGCGAGGTGAACAATCCTGTCAAGGGCGTCGTCGAGGGAAGCCCGGCGGGGAGAGATTACAAGGGCGGTTTTGGGATTGGGCTGATGAAGAAGGACCTTGGGCTTGCTGTTGTCGCTGCCAAGGAGGCCGGGGCGAAGTTGGAGCTCGCTGACCGCGCGACGGAGGTGTACGCTTCTGCAGAGGCGGAGGAGAGGTGTAAGGGGCGAGATTTCTCGGTCGTTTACCGATACCTTGGAGGTGAAAAGTCATGATTGGCCAGTTTCGCTGTTAGAAAATTGAAGAATAGAGAGATTGGATGTTACTTGCGAAGAACGTCGGCCCAGCCAGCCGTTGATGGTCCAGGAGTGACTCTTTTCCCCCCTTTCAAAACAGATCTTTGCTCCTTGCGCCACCACTGCGCCCTTGCTTTCGCCTCCTCGGGGCCGAGATGATCGAGACACAGCTCGCAAGTGTAAAGCTTCGGCTTGGGGCGTCTATGGCTTGCATCGATCAGAGTATACCCGGGTGCGACCTTCAACGCTTCGAATTCCAGACCGGAGGGGTTGAGCGCCGGGTCGGCGGGGTCCGGATCAGGGGTCGGGCCACGGAGGACACCGCAGTGGGGTCCAGAAGCCGGAGCTGCGGGGCATTTTTCAAGTTTGCCAGAGGGCTTGGCGGCCCGAGTATTGCAGATGCTGCAAATATGGAGAATTACGTTCGCGTAGCACATGGTTGTGTTGTGCGATGTGGTGGGTGATTGTCCATGGACCGGAGTGTTGGATATACCTATGATTAAACGACATGAAAAGAGAAGTATATGGACCTAGCTGAACAGCGCAGAGACTTGTGGCAAATTCTAGTCTTGAACAGTTTGTTGATTTCGAGATCATTGAGATGTACAAAAAGGTGTTGTCTCGAGTGCTCAATCAAAGGAGCAAAAGCCCGGCAGAAAGTCCTTAGTATCAAAGACGACGGGAGGCAACCCCGAGGCACAGGCATCAAACCATCAAAGAATCGGATAGCATGGGCTGGAATGAACATAAACCATTGAAGTTCAATCAGTGCTGGTAAACGCACTTCTAACGATTCTGATCGAATCTAATGTATCATCCCTATTTGGACGTTGCCATTTGAGATGGGACTTCATCCTTATCTATCAAACCAAGATGCTCTCTCGACGCTCCAAACCGAGCTGACATTTTCATGCCGACTCTCGTCCGGATTCAACCTTTGTGCCTTCCGGCGTCGTTGTGGTAGTTTGGCTCTTCTCGCTCACCTCAACCTTGCGCGCGTTGGCCATCGCCGGGAAGAAGACACCAGGGTGGAAGATCGTCAACAGGGACACGCAAACGAGGACGAGTCCGCCGTCGAGGATCATGAACGAGATCTCGTCTTGCATGATGTGGTTGCCCCATCCGCCTGCCATCTCAGCGATACTGTCTCGCCGTCAGTATCCATATCCCTTCATGTCAACGTTGTAAACTCACCGGTAGATGCAACGAATCATGACGCAGGCGTATGCCCCGATGATGCTGAAGATGAACATCCTAAACTTCTTCTGGTTCCAGAGCGTGAGCTCCGAGGGATCCGTGTCAGGGTCCCGCGCCCATCTCCTCACGCGAATGAAGTAGTCTGCGCCGGCAGCACCAAAAGCCATCAACACCACAACCTGCAGAACGATGCCCGCGATGATGGCGCGGTTGCCACCGTCCAGCAGAGACTTGTTCGTCTGCCCTGCGGCGGCGGCCAGCCCTCCTCCAATCGCCTGGATCACGAGGCAAGTCAGATCGGCCGGGAGGAAGATGAGCGGATAGAGGTGGGGCCGGATTCGTGAGAGGGCTGGGTTGAGGTTTGCGGAGACGTGCTTGAGGATGAGGTAGATTCCTGCGCAGATGAAGGTCGGGCCGAGGATGATGGTGCAGATTTGCATCTGGAAGGCGTCCTTGTTCCAGGGGTTCTCGTGGAGGAGCACACGACCGACGTAGCCTGGATCGTCCTTGTTAGTCTCGCGATGGAAGAAGCTTGGGGCAGGTGTTTGTGTTCGCCGGACGAAACATGGGATGATTGAAGCTCGTACCGACTGTTTCCAGGACACAACCGCCCGTGACGAGTGCCATGAAAGACCAGGTTCGCTTCCGTATGCCGAGGAAGGCTGATGTCAATACGACAAGACCAAAGGCCACCGCGAAAAAGATGTTGGCACCAAGGTTTGGGTAATAGGAAAGAACCGTCATGTCAACGGGACAGAGGCCCGAGACTTCGGTGCACTCCTTGAAGCGGCGACCAGCCCCTGTGCTGTTTGTCGACATGTTGGCGGTGTTTACTTCTAATCGAAAATCCCTATCGTGTTCTGCTTTCGGTGACTAAAAATCGCCCCAAAACGTATACGGCGCAGAGCGAGCCGCTCACAAGCAGCCTGTCGATTCTATTACTCGTCTTCGGAATGCTGCAAATGGCCTTGTCTGTAGTCTTCCGCGGAGCAGGGACCGAGTCAAATTATGTATGTATGAAATCGACAATGAGAAGAACGGAGATCAAGGGTCCAAACGAAACCAGGTGCAGATGCAGAGATGAAACGAACGAGACGCAGCAGTGTAAGCAACCATGGGCGCGCAGGATCTACATATATGTGTGCACGGAATCATCACTGCGCACCCTCTCTTCCTCCGTTGACCGGGGCAGTGAGGTGGATCTGGATAAACCAACCCTTCAAACGGCCGCTGCCCGAGTGCTGACGGGCCTGCGTGCCTGCCTGGGCTTCGATGACGGGAACGAGAAAACCGAGCCACGCGAGTATTTGCGGTCCGCTAGACAGACGAATCATTGAAATCAAGGTGCGGCGAACGGGAGGCGCTAAGCCTAGAGCCAAGATGTCAGTCTGCTTCCCGAGGACCCGCTGGCCTTCTCGAATGGGAAAGCAATGCGCCCGTAGACGGTACTTGATTGCCCATTGGACACACCTATCCAATGGCCCTTGGAAGTGCGCTTATCCAGTGAGAAAGATGGCTTGGGAATGTCATGTCGCATGTGGCATATAAGTCGTGGCAGAGACGCTAGAGGGTGATGAGCATACTGAGACATCTCTTCTTCTCTCTTCGATTCGTTTTCTCCGCAAGCCAAACCCCCAGCTCTTCCAAAAGATATCCCCGTTTGCGGCTCATCTTCACCCGTCGAGAGGCAACATGGAAAGACAGCAAGTCGGGTCAAGTTCAAGACACCGGCACGGGGTCCCAGTGGAGATTCGCAAGACCAACACCCCGTGTCTTAGCCCACTCTAGCGCCTTGGCCGAGCCCGCGTTGTGTCCACTCGTCCGCGTCTTTCGATCGCTAACCGAACTACACGAGTTAAGCGATGTCTTTTGGGGGCGCCTCCCGAGTCCCTAACCGAGAAATCTCGGTTGTCCATGCGAGTCGTTGAAAATGCCTGTCGCCCGCGTGGCTAGACTATTAATGGCCCCCGGAGCAAACCCCGTAGCGCTGTAACACAGCATCTAGATTATCGGCATAATCAATCCCGCCGAATTTCTAAGAAGGCACGCGGAGTTTACTGCACCCGGCTTATGTGAGATCTGCTGTTGCTGGGGCAGACATACACAGCGTGTTCCTAGCTGATCATTGGCGGTCACCGTTGAAACCCGAAGAAAGAGGCATACTCTTGGAGAATAATGCTTTGCATATTTTGTATGCTCACCTAGTGTGAGGCGAGGTCTCTAGGGATGAATGTATGTTTGGTGTTGAATGCTGTCATGATTTGACAAGCTTGTCCCCTTCGCCGTCGTCACTATCGCTCTCCTCCTCATCGTCTTCATCTTCATCTTCGTCGTCGTCGTCTTCCTCCTCATCTTCCTCGTCACTATCTTCTTCGCTCTCAGACTCTTCTTCCTCTTCTTCATCGTCGTCTCCCTCCGCGAGCCAATCGTCCAAGCTCTTCCCCCCAACGCCCTCTCCGAGACCGTTTGTTTTTGTCGGTGCCGCCTTGACAGCGCTATCGAGCATTTGACTCGCTGGCACACTCTTCTCTTCGCCGTAAGCTGTTGGCGCCGCCTCCGTGTCGCGCAACCGTCTGTCTGGCTCCGAGCCTTCCGCCACCCACTCGGGTAGTGCATCATAACCGCGCAAACCATGGATTCCACCCCCACCTGCCAGCACAAGCGTCGATGACCCAAGCATGAACCCCTTGCGCGTTTCCGACGGGCTGGGGGCCTGAGGGGCTGGCTTCGGAGCCAGTAGCATCAATGTGGCAAGCTGCGGTACAGACAGAAGGGCCCGATACATGCGAGCGCGATCGCGAAGGTCGTAAGAAGTATCGTATCGCACCAGCAGCAGTACATAGTCCCACAGCTTGGCGACCGGGTGGTCGTCTTGACTCGGGACAGCCGCTTCGTCTTCGCTCTTGTTCTCGTTCAGTCGATTAAGGTGGTGCAGGTAGACCTTCGCCGCCAGAAGCAAGATCTGTCCTTTTGCTGCCTCCGATTCACTGGCGAAATCCTTGACGAGAATTCTCAGCACGTCGGCAGCAATATTATCCTCGCCCTTGAGACCCGAAAACTCGCCCACCAGCCAGATGATTGTTGCGCGGGCCTGAGGGTCTGTTGCCGAGTCCAGATTCTTTGCCAACCGCACGACAGTGCCAACGTGCCCCTGAGGGTCTTGCTGGATCAAGTGTCGAATCACGGTCAAAGACTCTGCCGCCAAGGTGCCGTCCAAGCTTGTGATCTGGCCCAGTAGTAACCGTAGGCAACGAGGCGCCGTAGATGAGTCGGTTTGGGCGCATCGTCCGATGGCACGCACTGCCTCTCGCACCAATGCCTTGTTCGTGGACCCTGAGAAGTGCTCGAGCTCGTTCAAGATTAAGCTCTTGATGTGGGGTGGTGCGTGCGGGAAGATGAGCGTGAGGATTTCCAACTTGAGCTCCCACACCTGCGCTGGGTCCGTAGCCCTGACGAGAAAGTGGCTGGCGTACTTGACGAAATCAGTCGGCCTTGTCAAGCAGACTGAGACGATGTTGTAAAGTGCGACCTGCTGGATATCCTGCGCACCCCTCAGGAGTGCCACCAATGGACCGATGGAGATTTTGACATAATCTGGCGTCCCGATGTCGACATAGCATCTTGTTACAGCTATCACGACTGCCGAGTTTCTGCTTTGAAGCAGAGGCTTGATTCCATTGAGGAGCATGGCGAGATCCGGGTCCAGCACCACGACTTGCTGTTCATCTCCTGAATCCTCTGTAGTCTCGCCGTAGAAGTCGCCCAGGTCCGCCGTCTTCTCCTGAGTCTTTACACTGCGCGTCCGCCTCGGGAAACATTTTCTGGCGTAGTAGGTCATCATCCGCAACGTTGCCAGCTGGCTCCATTCGTCCATATCCACAATCTTCTTGACCAAGGCGCGGTAATGTTGGTGGATGAGATCGATCCGTTCGGGGCAAACCTCGAGGAAAGCCGATACCGCTGCACCTGCGACGAAGTACTGCTTGTCGCCAAGTAGGGTGGTCAAATAGTCGAGGAGTTGGGGTAACTGGGTTGGGTCGAGACGATAGCACTTGGGGATCGAGAGAGCAGCGGCTCGGCGCACGAAGGGGCTCATGTCTGCGACGCCCTTCTTGATCGCAAGGGACACGATTTGGCTGATGACGGGAACTCGGATACCAGACATGGTCTTGAGAGCGAGAGCGCGGACCTGGGGGTTCGTGTCGGAGAGGGATTTCTGTATGGTGTTGATGGAGAGGAGGGCGAGGTCGGGCTCTTGCTCGGCATGGTGGATGAGGTATATGTAGACCAGCTTCTTGATCTCGATGTTCGGCGAAGCAACATTCTTGACGACGGAGGAGAAGAAGGGTAAGGTCTTCTGGCCACGATACATCATCTGATGGTGGGCGAAGTTAGTCTTGGCCTGGACTGCAGCCGGCGGGGAGGTTTCGTACGGAGAGTACGCGACGGAGGCCGTCGAGAACCTCGCGCTCATTTCGACTGTCCAGCAGCTTCTTGATCTGTGTACGGTCGAGAGGGCGACCGGTGCTGCGGGCGCTGCGCGTCGCCGAGGCGGCATCGAGGGTGAGCTCTCGAGCTGTACCAATAGGTCATTAGCATACTGAGGACAGAGGCAGAGGACACGGAAACACTGCGCTGGCGACGACGACGATGACGATGGCGAAGGTACGCACCGCTCTCGAGGAGGCTGGATATCCTCGCTATGGACTCCATGCCGGGCCAACGGTGGACAGGTCGGAGCTCGAGGGTCAAGCTTCGAAGGCGACGTTGGATTTGGAGATGGAAGCTGGCGAAGTGGCAGGGAGGGAAATGAAATGACGTTGGTGCTTGGAAAGCTGAGCGGACGACCACGGTGCACCGCGGCGAGGGGCAGTGGAGAGGCTGCCCGTCTCTCCGGACGTGGCTGCCCTGGCTGACGTGCTGAGGTGCCCGATCCAGCGAGAAGCTTGCCGCAGCTGCAGCGGGATGGTTCGGGCGCACCCACTGAAGATGCGCTGCCCCACCACAAGTAAACAGCCCAGCCAGCACTGGTGCGCCGATTCAACAGCCATCCACCGTTCTTGAGGTGCTTGTTCAAGAATGTCACTCACTTACACAAGCAGAAACCTCATCATCATCACAAAACAATCGTCCTCTTCCTCTACCCAATGCACCATAGGATGGCTTCGCCCAAGGTTTTGTCGCCAGCCTCACCTTCAGAGCTGCTTCACTACATCAGGACCTATCAAATCTATCCGACAACGCTCGTCATCTGTTACTCCCAAGAGAAATTCATGCTGTCCCTCGTGGCAGACATCAAGAGCCAATTCACCCAAGAACAACTCCAGAACGCCGACGAAGACCCTCCTCATCCTCTCTTCGCCAAACCAATCTTTCAGCAAGTTATCGCACGCCACATTCGTGTAATATTCGTCCCGACAGTCACCCACCTCCGCGCCAACCTCTCCGTCTTCTCTCCTGCAGATTCATCAACGCCAGCTCCCCCAAATCTGCCCCCGCCGTCGGCCAAAGACAAACCGCCGTTGCTTCTCGTCTACGGCTTCATGGACCTTCACAGGGACAGCAGTGAGTGGAGTGCCCAGGGTATCAGTAACTCGGCTGCCATCTTGGTGGAGGCAGCTCAACGCGCTGGTTTCAAACCAATCATCGTTGAACCCAAAGGCGCTGGTCGACACCAAGATTTTGATTCTCTCTTGAGAGAGCCTGCGCCAATACTGAGCGGAAGCTCAAAAAGGGACGAGGGCGGCTGGACCGGGAGGACAGTCGAGGTTAGACGCGTGCTTGGCAGATGGTTTCGCTTTCAAGAGGGACAGTGGGAT